TGCACGTATAAACAAGATGACGATCAATTAACGATAGTAAATGTAATATTGGAAACTATAAAGGTCTTGTAATCAACCGTGACATTGCTTTCTAATATTTTTGTAGTAATCACCTCTCAATGTGTTTGACGTCAAGCCACACGCGCAACTACCTGCTAATTAATGATCCACAATATCTGCATCCTGTTAAGCGTGACTCAAGAATAATATGTACAGCCAAGCCAATGAAAGTGTAACGTACCATAATTTTAGTGATAATAGAAATTGTCGAGCTTCTTATTATAAAACACAATTTATTTTCTTCTAATTCTCTATTCTTTTCCATGATACTCTTTTTCACACTATAATTTTTACATATTATTGTATTAAAAAATATTTATCTACATAAAATCATAAAAATAATATACGCAAAACATTTGCGATGAATTGATTGATGCCTTTATAAATACGAGTACATATAAATTTCTGTAATTCAAACAATGTAAAAAAAATATTTCAATGATTATTAACGTGTATAAAGTGTCTTAAGATTTTGGTACCTTTCCAAAGCCATTTCCTTCTAAAATTTTAAATTTCACAAAAAAAAACCATGTAAATTAATTTATATACCTAATATTTATTAAAAATTTTTAGATCTAAATAATTCCTCCCTTTCTCTACATACTACTTTGTCTTACGATAAAAATTATATTATTCTACAACTGAAACAGCAACAAGTGCAAATATTTAAAATAAAGGGCCTACATTAGTATATGAGTGTTCTTAAATACAAATTATGATTGTTCAAATTTATACGTGGGGTTCGTAATAGTGCAAGTCCCTACAATCCAAAAATTAAGTACACTTGAGTGCAAATTCTAGTAATTATAGATCTGTTTCCGTGTAGCCAATTGATTGGATTTTTGAATACGAGAAACTGCGTATGTCGAACTCCATCTAGTATGTGAAAGTTGACATATAACCCTAGATATATATATACTTATATATATATTGCCAAAACTATCGCGGTCGAGCAGCTTTTATATTCGGCAGTGTGTATGACATTCAACGTTTGTGTATCAATTTTCATATACTAGATGGAGTTTGACATGAGAATTATCTCGTATTCAAAAATATAGTCCACTAGTTATAATATACAAGCGTTTAGAATTATGTAGTATATTATACTCAAATCTAAATTTTTGTAGTGAGGATTTGCAATATGCATAAACCTCACGCATAAACTAAACAAGCATAAATTATTATATAAAATAATCAGATACGTTATGTATCTCATTGTTAGACTCAATTTTGCAAATATTTTAGTCAGAGTTGCGATTTTTGGTTATTGCCCACTTTGCTTTCTTGTCATGCATTTCTTTTTACACGCATAAATGAAATGATTATCAATTAATGATAGTGATAAATACGATATTGGATCTATAAAGGTCTTGTAATTTTAATCAACCATGACTTTGCTTTCTGATATCTTCCCAATAATCATATCTCGATGTGTTTCATGTCAAGCCACACGCGCAACTACTTGCTAATTAATGATCCACAATACCTGCATTCTATTGAGCATAATACAGAAATAATATGTACAGGCAAACCAAAGAGAGTGTAACGTACTATAATTTTAGATAATGGATAAATATTGTCGAGCTTCTTACAACAAAACAATTTATTTTCTTCTAATTCTCTATTTTTTGCCATGATGCTCTTTTTCACATTGTAATTTTTGCATATTATTGTATTATAAATTATTTACCTACATAAAATCATAAGAATAATATATGCAAAACATCCACGATGAATTGATTGATGCGGTTATAGATACATATATATTTCAGCAATTCAAACAATGTAAAAAAAATATTTCAATGATTACTAACGTGTACAAAGTGTCTTAAAAATTTGATATCTTTATAGAGATTATAATATATTCTCAAAAAATATGACAATTTATAAAAATATGTCTCTTTCAAATTCTATCTATGCTTAGTTTCAGTATCAAACAATGTTTATGTTTCATTTAGTTACAAATTAGAAGAATAAACTTGCATTGATAAATAATTAATTTGTGATAATTCTGTCATAATTTTGATTCTCTATTGTAAGATTAATGTAATTACTTAATTTTTGTACATTCTGACAATGAGTGTGTCACTCTGAGATCGGTGCACATATGTTTCACATGAAAATAAATTTATTTCACACCAACAACCGCGATGGCTCCGAGCCGTATAGACACACGCGCGCGCACTTCTAAAATATATAATATAAATATAAAATTTAATATATCTAATCTATTCGCCAGCTGGCGATTGTCTCGCGTTCTTATACCGTCGTATAGAAAAGATTAATTTTATTTCAATGATTAATCGATATATCAATACCTTGCGAGCTAATTATCCAAGATAAATGATTCTAGAGTCTCAAACAACTTGTTTTAATTTATTGCGATTCTCCGTGTGTTCTTCTCAACCTGTGGCTATCATATCTTAAGTGATTCTGATCTAGTCGGCGGACAAGACAGCCTGCTCAATTAGCCCGATTTACTACCACTGACCAGCTGATCAGCTGCTTGTGGCAGTAGTAATGATCGGCTTACACGAGCTACGCGTACACACTCATACATACGTACTGCATATTCATTCCTAAATAATGTACGCGCTCTTCGGAAGTAGCTTTTTAAAGAGCTATAACTCATTATCAGCAAAAAGTTGACGTAGCGACATATAAGTTAAAAAGAATTTTTCTATGCTTCGCATTTGTTATATGATTTTATCACGACACACCTGTACATATATGTAAAATATAAAACGGTAAATTATAAAATATACACAAAATTCTTATCTGATAATTGTAGAACTTTTATTTATAAATAATCCACGTTTAGTAAAAGTTTAATTATTTTGTCCATTAAAAAAAAATAATAATTTTAACGAGTTTCAGGTTATATAGCAAAGCATATATAAAATATAAACTTCATGATAAAATTTAAAACAACGTGGTAATTGTTTTCTTTCTATACTTATTTTAATATTTTATCTCCAAAAAATAAAACGCGTAAAATATATATGCAGTTCAACAATAGTTTTCTGTGAAAACGTGATTTTTTAACCCGTTTCGCCACAGCGGCATGAAACACTTGTCACTGATTGCCGAATTCACGAGCCCAATATAGAATAAAATGGCACGTCATGTATGCTTCGCAGCTACAACAAACGTTTTTTCAGCACATACATGCTTGCAACCAAAGTAAGCGTTTCTTGAGACAGCATACCTGTATACGTCCTACGTAGTGAGAAATTTAACGCTACGCTTTTGAAATTGAAATGTTCAGTATTGTTGTGCGATGTATGCATTATAACAGCGTAGCAAAGGTCAAAGTTGACAGAACACGACAGTCGGGAATTAAATAACTTTTTACAAAAAAATTTGTAATTGAGTTGTTCAAGTCTGTTACACGTCCGGCTACTTAAAACGTCGACTATTAGACCGGTGACTTCTCAAGTTTCCGCCTGGCAGAACGGCCGGAACGCAAAACACGAAGAATAAAAGTTGGATGAAACCATTAGTGTAAAGTGCGCTTGTGTGTAGTGGAAATAAGTGAACGTACGAGATGATCTACGATCCGGACGTGATAAATATTGTAGGATAATAGACTATATTTGCCGTTTTCATGTAGATCACACAACTGTGAGTCGAGGTTTCTTCTATGTATATACGGATATCCTTTCATACTCTTAACTTTTTTAACTTATTAATGTCTACTGCGGAACAAAATGCTAACACTTTATACTATACTCGTATTTGTACGTTTTCTAAAATTATTACGTATTATGTATATAACAAACTGTTTCGTCTCGAGGAACAATATCGTTACATATTCTATGTTGAGTAAAAAGATAAAAGATGAATTTACTAGTAATAATGTTCAAATAAATATTCATTTGAGATATGCCATTATTTTCTTTCACAGATACATATCCTTACACATCTGCATATGATCAGTGTCGACTTTTTATATATTATAATTTTTTTATATTATAATAATTTTACAACGTTAGAAGAATATAACGCAGAAGAAAAGCTCAACTTTGCGACGTAGTTTAATAAAGTTTTTGTAATAATACAGCTCGGATCCAATATATATCCACTAGTACGATACTCGTTTGCACACTAGAATAGTTTCGTTTTATTTTCTTATTTTCGTCTTCTCGTTATCGAGCTTCAAGATATCTTTATTCCCGGTCGTCTATCTTAATTTCTTCTCGCAAGCTATATCAAAAGTCCAGTAATAAAGCAAGAATGTTCATTGTTGGAACTGCTATGTTCAATGAACGTTGAATGAAAGAAAAATAAGAATCCCGTTTTCCGCGCGACTTTAGTTTAATTAAAAGTAGTGACTGTATCTTTTTACGAAGCAGGAAATATTTTCTTTGCGGAATAAAAAAATTGTGTCCTACAAAAAATTGTACGTGTCGCATCGTACCTTTTCAATTTATGCGTGTATTGCACAATAAGGTTTTTCTTTGTACAGACAAATATTATATATCCCAACTCTATTCTGAGGTGTACAAACAAAGCTGAAATCTTGACTATGGGCGGAATTGAAAATTTCCGGGGTCCGGAAATTTACTATGTCGTTGAAACCCATTCTTTCGTTGTTTACCGATGATCGATCGACCAGAACTAGTGCGTACTTAGTGCTACTACGTTTATTTGCAGCTTCAGGAATTGAGAGTGCACGAATAAAAAAGCAATAAGACCATCTACTTTTACGATATTTTAGTTTAAGATGTTTAAACGTCAGAACGTTTAGATACGGCCACCTGCCACATCAAACAAAGTTCGGAAAAATCAACTTCCCGATAAAATACTGGTTGCGTTTCAATCGCTCAATCCTGCAACTGCAACCGACTCTTTTCACTTTCACTTTACTTTGAATTGTTTATACTTTCTATTTTCTGCAAACTGAGAGATGTAATTAACAAAAATACTATCAATTTCAGGCCGTGTCGGATCTTCTGCTCGGTGTGTTCTGCATGCCTTTTACTCTTTTGGGCCAAATTCTCAAAAACTTCGTCTTTGGTCTCACAATGTGCAAGCTGATACCATATTTTCAAGGTAAGCTTTTTCGACTTTTTTCGGCTGACCACGGCATAAACTAGGTGACATAAAAATCGAAGATTATTATATGGACGTCCAATTTTTGCCTTACCGTCGCGCCGTGTTATAATAACGGTCGGAGAAAAAGAAATTTTCACGGATTCTGGTAGTGGTACAAGGTCTTGGATATCACGAAAGTTACGTTTATCGCTTATTTGCTAAGACATTTGCCGAAAGATACAACGTGTAGTGTAAAATTTATTAAATAGAGGGTTACTAGATGGATGAAGGTAATTGTTTTATGTCACGTCAGCAGCCGTTCTATTCCGACAATCTGTTAAAGCAAGAGGCGAAGATTTCCACTAAGGAGCATTAAATCATTAATCTGCTAATTTAATTAATGAACACAATTAATTATCAAAGACGCAACCCATATAGAGGGAATCAACTATACTGAAGCACTCCGCTGTGACATATTTTCCAGTGCTTAGCGCTTTTAAGTTTTTAAAAAGAAAGGAATGCATTTGGAAGGATAATACTTATTGATAATTGTAAGAAATGATACGGTCTAAGTAAGCTAAGTACACTTAACTTTTGTGCGTATTTATATACACTACTTTTACGAACGGAAGTAAAACGAACGGAAGTAAAACGAACGGAAGTAAATTTTCATTAACTCCCACGTAAATGGTCCCGGAATTTTCAATAGCGCTTAAAAGTGAGATCGAGTTAATCTTAACATGCAAGTTTATAACTTTATTATGCTCAAATATTAGCATAAATGCTGTACTTCTGACGCAATTATTCCGCTTCCTCTCATAAAAGCTTAACATGCGGTTAATAATACTTTTCATAAAAGATGGAAAAATGGGAGAACAATAGTTTACATTCTCCGTTTTGAAAAAAATGCAATTTACTTTTTTATTGCATTTCTTATACAATAGTCTCGCATACAAAGGTGTTTTTCCAGAGATAGAAATCAAAATTATAAAATGAGAAATAGAGACAATCAGTCATATGCACTACTACATATCTGTGCTCGTAAACTAATACGTAAAACGACCACTCGATGTCCAAAGTTTTGAAGCCTCAATCTGTTGCGATGATTGTACCAATCGATTCGGTGGTACGCTATTGTGAATGAAAATTGGATACATTTGCCATACAACACGATAGATAAACTTTTGTGTGTCTCAACTTGGTTCCGGATTAGTTTTCCGCGAATACTCGTTTAACTCGGCGATAGGTTCGATTTAATTTGCGGAAGTGACTGCGCGGGCAAAAAGAGAAGATTTGTTCCAAGTAATTTGTTGTGTGTCTTTTCACTGTATCTGCCTTGATTGAAATCAGAAAAAAAACAAAAGTAATACTAAAAATAAATTATAACTGCGTGTTTCTGCATTACATACCAATTTCTATGCTTTATATGCTCGAAAATTTCATCAAAGGATCCGAATTCAATCACGAAGTGCAATCGCTCAAATGATTACGCAGCAGAACGTATCAGTTCGTCGTTTATTCGCAATAAAATGTGTTCAGTGATTCAATTTGACTTCAAACCTCACGTTTAAACTATCTTTAAGCGAACAGATCCACCACTTTTATATTTCTGTGTTTAGTAAAAAATTCTATACTTTTTCTTCGCAAAAAAAATAACGGTAATATTATAACATCGTCATTTCATAAATAATGTAGCGAAAAGGTTTTTATTTTCCCGACATTAAATTACTACGCGCATTAAAAGTTGTATGTAATTTTTAGATGAAAAATATGTAAATGAAAAGTGTAGCTTAAACGATTTTATTTCGAATGAAGTTTTCAGTATTATACGTATACTTCCGCTGCAGATATGCGGCATGATTTAAATTCGTTACTTCTCGACATTTTTAGAAACGTAAATCTCCATCGATATTGAATTTCTGCTTGAAAATGTAGCAATTTGAATAGATACATTTGTAAGACGGTTTTGTGGTTAGTATTCGAAGCTTTTGCTGAAATTGCAACTACTATGCATTTTAAGATCTCATATCGAGAGGAAAGGATGGTAATATCAGATAAAATGCGACAATACAGGACATTGGAGAAACATACTTAAAAATCTTCTCCACGTCTTGTAATAATATTTATAAATAATGTCATGACATGCGAAGAAAAATTAACTTTGTATAATTGACTGGAAAAAGCAATCGCAGTTATGCAATATTCTCTTCGAGACTGTGAAAAATTTTTGCAAGCATTTTTTTCTTAAATACGCAGTACACAATATACGCAATTTACATTCTTTTAATATTTCATGATATAAACGCGAGGAAACATGCCATGAGATAGACCTTTGATAACAATCAATCCACCAGCGTGATACTCAAAGGGCTTGTAGCCGTCAGGCGTGATATATTCGTTAAGCGAGCAGCAAATTACCATTGCGCAACGCATACACGAGAGACCACAGTGGTGTAGCGCTAATTTTCTAGTTTGCCGTTACGCTGTCCATATATGAGATAGTGACCGTAAATATATATTTGTAACAATTTCGAAGTTCCTTGTAACACATAGCAAATATTTACTAATGGAGTAATGAGTCATTAATAACTGTCTATTAAAAACATGTATTAGTAAGTAAAATTAATTTTCTTTTGCTTCTGTAAATTTTTTAATTTTAACATTACTTTTTAATCTATCTTCTTAATAATATTAAAATAAAACAAATTGAGTTGACTTACCGGAGCACGAAGCGCAGCAGCAAAGTTGTTTACAAGTTAATCTTTAACATACAAAGTACAGCCAGATTATAGCAACGTTTAAAATAATTATTATACATATTAAACTTTACTTATCTTTTATGTAAATATCTAACAAAAAATTATATATTTATATCTAATAACCATAAATATTAAAAATTGTAAATCTAAATATTTCAAAGTTTCTATGTTACATGATATTTTATGTGTCAAATAATAGATAACAAATAAATAATTACTTACTCTAAAGTTGCTCCGCCGGCGTCTGATTCTCCTCCTCCTCTCAGTCCTTGCAGTCCTTCAAGGCATTCACACGCGTTCGCGACGCGAATACAAAAATCGTCCGATGCTTCAAACAGCACTACCGACACGTACCTTATCATTCGGACAAAGGAAAACTCGAATATCATCGCATGGAATACACGTTCGACACGGTCCGCAATAGGTAACGACGGAAAAGAATGAGATCGAAAACAGGAAATAGTAAGGGTAATATTATTGGAAGAGATTACACGCCGACACGAAACGCAATCTATTTCGTACAAGTGCCGCCGTGCGAATGATAAAGAGGCAATAAACATATCAAGAACAAAGTCGCGCCGATTCTGATTTGGAGGAATGCGGAAAAAAAGAGAGAGAGGGGGGAATATGAAGTGCGCAGACTAATGCCTTTATACGTAAAAAAGTTCAGACGTAACCGTAAGGCGTAAGCAAATCGACCAATCACGAGTGATTCGCATTATTGCTCAATGTGATTGGTTCGATTTGCTTACATCTTACGATTACGACTAAAACTGTAATGGCCTTAAATGCGACGACGTAAACAACTCCACCACACACTGCGAGTCGGTCTAGAAACTTTTAACAATAGAGTATTTGTCGAACATTTATCGAAATGGAGTTTAAACTCGATTTTATCTTGATTTCGATAAATGTTCGATAAATACTCTAGTATTAACAGTTTTGAGGCATTCGGTGGAATTGTTTCGCCACTTTTAGAATCTGCGTGATCTATATTTCCTCCCCCCTCTCTCTCTTTCTCTTGTGCTATGTATCGGAACGCACACTGTTACATTTTACTCCTTGCATTCCCCAGATCAGAATTGGCACAATTTTATCCTTCA